ACTGAAAAAGTGAGTTTTTCATATATTCCATTTAAAATATTGTTGTCTAAAAAGATGCTTTCTCTCAAATTAGCTAAACTGCCATCAAGCTTTCGAGCTGAAATTAACCAATATTTTTTTTAAGTAACAAAATTAGCAGATAAAGTTGGCACAGCCAGCACATTCTCAGTAAAATTGGCCAGTAAGGGGGGAGCAAATGGCTCATCATTTGCTAAAAACTAGTCCAAGAGGTCTAATACATCTGTTGCATGTTTAGCTTAGGCCCTCGTGACTGCACAAGCAGGGAAGACAGTTGAATACTTTTTTTTTTATTCTTTTTTTTGTCAGCTCCTCTGCACTAAACCATGATACTTGGCTGACTTGAAACCACCAACAGAGGGACAATCCTACCACCAGTTAGGTCATTTCTAAGAATAAAGTGAACTCCCTAAATCGGTAAGACCAAGCTGGTGGCACGTGCACAACGCGAGGCTCAGCGTGTCTTGGGATTTCGCTTTTTAGTATTTATTAGTCTTATAGCCGGCAATTTTTGCTGAACATTGGTGTTGCCTGCAGTAATACAGTTTTTAGCGATCTGGAACTCCCTCTGGAAATATCAAGAGTGCCATGGCCAGAGGCCAGAGACCATAAACAAAGGTGGGGAAGGCGAGGTGGACTATGGGCTAAGCTAAGCTTAACCTGCGCTGGACATTCGTTCCCAGCATTTTCTCGCCAATGTTCGGTTTTTGGCAAACAAAATGGATGAACTGCGACTCTGGACTACAACACACAGATGGATCAGAGAGTGTAACATCATTGTTCTCACGGAGACGTGGTTGAACAGCAACCTTCCGAGCAGCGTGGTGGAGCTGGAGGGGCGCATTGTGTTCAAAGCAGACAGAGTGGCTGAGGACTCCGGTAAGAGTAAGGGAGGAGGTCTGTGCTCTTATGTAAACAAATCATGGTTTACGGACTCCACTGTAACTGAAAGTCAGCGCTCTGCTAACTTAGAGTATCTGATGATCAGGTTTTGTGTCTTCTTTTTACTGAAAGAGCACACAGCTGTTATTGTTACGGCAGCCTACATCCCTCCTGATGCTAATGCTAAGCTAGCGATCGGCAAACAACAAGCTGCACAGTCAGATGGACTTTTTATTGTTGCATTCTAATTTGCGATCTGTGCTGCCAGAATTTCACCAGAATGTCTCCTGCCTGACCAGAGAAGACAAAACTCAAGATCATGTCTACGCAAACATTGCAGACGCATACAAGGCTGTCCCCCTCCACCATCTGGGTCAATCTGATCATGTCTCATTGTTTTTGTTTCCCAAGTATGTGCCACTCATCAAACATGTGAAAACACCCACAAAGACTGTTAAAGTGTGGCCAGTCTCCTCTCTACAGCATCTGTTTCAGAACACTGATTGGAGTATGTTCTGCTCTGAAGCCACTACAGACTCTCACACGGACTTAGACACATATGCCTCAGCTGTAATGAGTTATGTCAACTCATGTATTTACAATGTCAAGCGGCTGAAAATCTTTTCTGATCAGAAACCTTGAATGAATGAATGCTGAGGTTCAGCTACAGCTGAAGGCACGCAATGCTGCTTTCAGATCTGGTGATGCTGAGGCTTACAGCTCAGCCAGGGCAGACCTGAAGAAGGGCATAAGGAAAGCCTACAAACTTTCTGTCAAAGGGCACTTCCACAACTCCGACCCCGCCGCATGTGGAAGGGCATCCAGACTTTTACGGACCACACACCTCCCCCACTAATCCCCCCCCCAAGCCAGCAGTGCCTTTCTCTCAGACGAGCTTAATCTTTCTGTGCTCGTTTTGACCAGGACAGTGCTGATCTATACACATGGGGTGGACTTCCTTACAACGGCAGCCCCCCACACTCTCTCCAGCGGAGGTGTGTTCAGTACTAAATGCATGTAAAGCTACTGGCCCAAATGGCATCCCCGGAAGAGTCCTCAGAGCATGCGATGGACAGTTAGCGCCGGTCTTCACTGACATCTACAACTTGTCTCTGGCCCATGCTGCTGTTCCTCTGTGCTGGAAGGCAACAACCATCATTCTGGTGCCAAAGCGTTCTTCTGCAGCATGTCTGAACGACTTCCGCCCTGTCGCACTCACACCCATTGTGATGAAGTGCTTTGAGAATCTGGTTCTCAGTCATCTGAAAGCAGCGCTCCCACCATCACTGGATCCCCTCCAGTTTGCATACCGCTCAAACAGATCGACAGAGGATGCCATTTCCACAGCTCTTCATTCTGCTTTCACCCACCTGGAAAATTGAAACACATACATTCAGATCCTGTTCAATACAGCTTCGCCTTCAATACAGTCATCCCCACCAGGCTGGTCACTAAGCTCAGTGATCTGGGAATCAGCACCCCCCCGTGTGCATACATCAAACATCATCATTAAATTTGCAGACGATACCGCAGTGGTTGGCCACATCAGTGACAATGATGAATCAGCCTACAAGGGAGAGATTCAGCACCTGGCTGCCTGGTACACCACTAACTACCTTTCCCCCTTAACACAGATAAAACCAAGGAGCTCATTGTGGACTACCGGAAAAACAAAAGCTGCACACACTGTCCTGTCTGGATCAATGGTTCTGAGGTAGAGCGTGTCTCCAGCTTCAAGTCCCTGGAGTACACGATACAAGATCTTTCATGGACACTCAACACCTCACACTTGGTTAAGAAAGCACAGCAGCACCTCTACTTTCTGAGGAGACTAAAGAAGGAACATCTGTCTTGTCAGATTCTCACAGACGTCTACTGCTGCACCATCAAAAGTGTACTGACCAACTGTATGACAGTTTGGTACAGCAGCTCCACTGTGGCCGGCAGGAAGGCCCTCCAAAAAGTGGTGAGGACCGCTGAGCGCATCGCTGGCAAAGAATGGGTCACTCTCAGGAGCTCAGTGAATTCCAGCGTGGTACTGTGGTAGGATGCCACCTGTGCAGCAAATCCAGTCGTGAAATTTCCTCGCTACTAAATATTCCACAGTCAACTGTCAGTGGTATTATAACAAAGTGGAAGCGAATGGGAATGACAGCAACTCAGCCACGAAGTGGTCGGTCACGTATAATGACGGTGTCAGTGGATGCTGAGGCGCATAGTGCGCAGAGGTCGCCAACTTTCCACAGAGTCAATCGCTACAGACCTCCAAACTTCATGTGGCCTTCAGATTAGTTTAAGAACAGTGCGTAAAGAGCTTCATGGAATGGGTTTCCATGGCTGAGCAGCTGCATCCAAGCCTTACATCACCAAGCACAATGCAAAGTGTTGAATGCAGTGGTGTAAAGCACACCACCACTGGACTCTAGAGCAGTGCAGACGTGTTCACTGGAGTGACGAATCACGCTTCTCCGTCTGGCAATCCGATGGACCATTCTGGGTTTGGCGGCTGCCAGGAGAATGGTACTTGTCGGACTGCATTGTGCCAAGTGTAAAGTTTGGTGGTGGGGGATTATGGTGTGGGGTTGTTTTTTAGGAGTTGGGCTTGGCCCCTTAGTTCCAGTGAAAGGAACTCTTAATGCTTCAGCAGACCAAGAGATTTTGAACAATTGCATGACAATTGGACAATTTTCTCCCAACTTTGTGGGAACAGTGTGGGGATGGCCCCCACATGACTGCACCAGTGCACAAAGCAAGGTCCATAAAGACATGGATGAGCGAGTTTGGTGTGGAAGAACTTGACTGGCCTGCACAGAGTCCTGACCTCAACCCGATAGAACACCTTTGGGATGAATTAGAGCGGAGACTGTGAGCCAGGCCTTCTCGTCCAACATCAGTGTCTGACCTCACAAATGCGCTTCTGGAAGAATGGTCAAAAATTCCCATAAACACACTCCTAAACCTTGTGGAAAGCCTTCCCAGAAGAGTTGAAGCTGTTATAGCTGCAAAGGATGGGCTGACATCATATTAAATCCTATGGATTAAGAATGGGATGTCACTCAAGTTCATATTCTTGTGAAGGCAGACGAGTGAATACTTTTGGCAATATAGTGTGTGTGTGTGTGTGTGTGTATACATATACATTATATTCATAGATATATTTGTAATTGTGTATATATTGTTCATATAGTTACATATTTCATAGACATGTCTGTTTTGCGCTGTTGCTACTATTTGCACTTCTGGTAGATGCTAACTGCATTTCGTTGCCTTGTACTTGTACTTGTACTGAGCAATGACAAAGTTGAATCTATCTATCTACCTATCTGTGCATGCCTAACACTAACTCCTGCCTAACACTAATTCTCATGGTACCAGTCATTAAGCCAGAAGGTAAATGAACATCATGGAACATCATCACTTGAACATAGCTCATCTCTAATCCTTGGCAAAAGCATATGAACCAGTACATGCTTAATATGACAAGACTGCACAGCCCCAGTGTCACGCAGGATGACAATGGGCTGGCCATGTTCTTCTGCATGAAATATAGACACTGACCCATTAAAGACAAAGGGCAGGTAACAGTAATCAGGGGACAAAACTGATGTAAAAACCCACCTCTTTTGGATGTTGCTTTTTTTCCTAGTGTTTCTGTTTGTGTTTTAAGGCAAAACTAAGCAGCTATATGTTCTGGTTTATGGCAGTAAAAACTCCACTGAGACAACAAACAAGGAATCTAGAATTTAGTTCTTTTGCTTCTCATGCTGGTTCTTACATTTGTTCTCTCCCTAATTTGTCACAATAGACTTAAGGGACTTGACCCAGGAGTGGGTGTGTGGATTTATTTTCCTAAAATTAAATGCACAGCTAACAAGGAACGAAAGATAGAACAGAATAGTTAGCTTGATCTCACATTCATGAAGCATACTGGCTCCTGCTTGCTCTCCTTAATTGATTTTAAAAGTAGTAAAAGTGGGAGAAGTCTTACTTAAGAAGTATTCAGATGACCAGAGAAATGACTGTAGACATACACTTGGTTGTTTTGAAAATATTTTTTAATCTGCCACTTTGTAAGTTTACCTTTCATGTCTTTCACACAGGTTTCACCACATCCTTCCCACTGGAAGATTCGCTATTTCACAGCTGGCTAGCACAGTCTGTTCAGATCACAGCAGACAACATGTTGAGTCAGTGGGCATTGGCTGGAGAGCCACGGGACCCCTCCGGTAGCCTTCTGTCTGACCAGCTGCTGCAAGGTGAGGAGAGTTTGCTTAACCTGATGATGGACCACTCCATGAAGTCCACCTGGAAGACCCCTCAACTGGGTCGCAAAGCTAGAGGCAAATCCCAGGGAAGAGGCCACAAGCAGATCACCTCTGGCCCAGGAGTTGGTGTGGGGTGTGCACTCAAAGGTAAAAAACCTTTTGAATATCAGGAAGTTCATGACAGCAGATGGGGCAAAAGACTGCGCTCTTTAAAGGCTCTGCACCACCATCACCACCACTACCACCTTAGTCATGCCCAAACGAGTACCACTGATGGCAAAGTGGATCTGATACAGCCACCTATATCCAAAATGGACTCCTGCCACATTTCAGAGAAGAATGAGGTTGGTAATGCAGGATTAATGTCTGCAGCCTCTGCACCTGACATCCCAACTGCTCCAAAAACAGAGAGCAGCAGGAGCTCCCGAGTGGCCTTACGAATTCGACTCCCAAGACAAGGCAAGTCCCGGTTTAAAAGAGTGGGAGTGGAAGTCACAGCCTCTGTGCAGGGAAGTAGTGGTGAGAAAGAGAGCTCGCTGCTGTACACTGAGACTGACGGTTACTTCTCAGATGCTGAACAGAGTGACTCAGATTCCCATCCTGCTAGCCGTAAGTTGCACCTGACCCCGCTGCATCCAAGGAATGAGGAGGTACTGAGACAAAGTGTACTGGCCTCCTGAATATGTGAATCAAATACAGTTGGAGGAAAAGTGTGTCTTTGAGATTGTTCAGGATACCATGATTTCTATTCTTTTCCCTCAGTCTGGTGACAAAATGCAGAGTTTATCTGTAGAATTATATCAGTGACCAAAACTCTGTAATACCTAGTCAGTCAAATTTGTCTGTGCTTTTTCTTTAAGCCATTAATGTGTCACTGTACCAACATCATGTTATTATTGGTTGGCGAAGCATAATAATTTTTCTTGATATTTTATGTTTTATCCTCCAAATATGTTCTTGGGAAGCAGCTGGATTTGGTACACTGGTTTAAAAAGTAAGTGATAAGCAATCAAATGGAAATTTTATATGGGCATTATTAAGTTCGTTCAGGTTTGTATTGCTCTTATGTCCTCAAAAAGTACCAAATACGTCTTTTCAATGGATGTGACCAATTCAGCCTTTTGGCTGAAAAACAGTATACAGAGAAAAAAATAAGCGTCTTAAAATTCCTAAAAGCACAAGTAAAAGTTTATTTATATAGAGCTTTTTACAACAGACATTGTCACAAAGCAGCTTTACAGAAAAAAAAGTAAGAACTGTAATACACAAGCATATTACACCTAAAATGTATTTAGTGAAAATAAGACTTTATATGTTTCACCCACATAGTTTGTAGTTCCAAAAGAGTTCTTTTGCATACATATATAACATACACCAGCCCTGAGTCAACAAATATTATTTCATGTCTTCAAACTAACCCCGTCTCCTCCAGTTGCCAAGGCTCACTTAAAGAGTAAGCAGACATCTGTATTAAGAATTGTGCCTTCTTTTGCTCTCCTGAAACAAGATAATCAGGTAGTTCAACTTATATATTAACTTATTATTCGTTTAAAAGGACAAACCCCTTAAAAACTAAGTTCAGATGTTTTAGTGCAGTGCCTAGAAATGCAGCATTTGCCATTAATCAGCCAAACAACAAACACAGTGTCTAACGTCATACCGTTGTTATGAAAGATGTTGTCCGCAAATAGCCTAAATTGACTTACAATCAGCCTCCGTGAGTCCCCAATTTCAAAATAGCTGTAAGCTCTCAGTTTCTCCTTATTGTATACCTTAGCAATCCATGGTATATGTCTCAGGGTTAAAGAGCAAGAGCTTAATCTCAATCAAGTAAAAAGAAAAATAATCACAAAATCTTCATTTGCATATTTCATCTGCATACCTTACTGTTGATAATCATGACTACTAATAGGTTTCTCTGTAGGTTTTCTAAATAGTTTTATTAATGCCAAAGAACAGTATGTGAAAACTGTACAGTGGGCATGTAAGTACGAGGTGGTCCACTTGCAATAACGGGGGTTGGTCTAGCCCTAGGGCGAGAGTATCGTCGGCCCTCTCATTTGGGAGAGGGTAATCTGTTTTAAGTGTTTCATGTCAGTCCTCTTTTTTGACAAATCAAATATCTACAGAGACATGATGAGATTTACTGCTTTACTCCTCCTTACATAGTGCGTGCAACCAATCCAATTTGCTCTACTCCAACAAAGGTCCTGAATACAGATGTCACTGCAGAGTCAGGACTGCTAGAATTGTCAAGATTAGGGTTTCAGCATTAACAGCACATTTATTTTACATCTTTTATCAATGAATAGAAAAAGAGACCACATCAGATTTAACATGGATGGTACTGAGATGGCCCACAGGAAACCCAGTGCCAGTAAGCCAAGTCTTAATATTTGAATGATTCTCAAATTGTATCTTAGGTTCACATTAATTAGACAGCTAATTGTGAACACTCATCAGGTTTTTGTAACTTTAGACAGTGAGTAAAGATTCACTTCAGAATTAGCTCAACTCTGTTATATCCGTTGTGTGACCATGGTGATGCAAAAACAGCAACACTTTTAAGCATTTCATTTTTGCTGCTTATTATATTAGGGCCTAATCTAAGATAGTAGTAGTATTCTTAGATAGGGCTGGGTCATGCAGTTTTCAGTTTATATCCTGACTCTTGGAACAATACTGGCATATATTACAGCATGCTTCATTTCGTTTGTAAACCAGAAAAGCATGTGAGTTCTAACAGACCATTTGTGCATAGTTTTGACTTGTAGCTTAAGAGCTTAAACAAGCTTAAATGGCCAAAACCTTCCGTTTATTACAAAGAAAGTGTACAAGTGGTTGTTATGATGTCTCTTTGATCAGTCGACAAAGTAATACTGCAATACTAAATGACTTGAGTTATATGGAAGTGTAATATAAACCATTCTGTATTGTCATGACATGTTGGAGGAATCTCTTTCCCTAAATATTTTCAGACACATAAGCCACAATTCTTAACATTTTGCAATATAAGATATAAAAGGACATGAATGTGCTGCCAGTAAAAAGGAACAGAACAAATTTATACTATGTTTCTACCCACCTCTATTTTGTAGTTTTGTACACATCCATGGTAAACATATAATACTGTGCCTCTAGCGACATGGTTTTGCTCTTTATACTGGGGTCTGCAAGCATTTCTCTCATTTTTTTAACTACTGTTTATGTACCAGAATGATGACATTTAACTGCTTGATATGAAGTTTGCTTCCAATTCCTGGCTAAGTAATAAATTTAGGTACAAGTGGAGAATAAAAGGTCTTCAAGCTAGGTAACAACATGGACATGTTGCTTTTACACAAAGTAAATTCATAATACAAGCAACAAGCCAATGTTGCTCTTTAATGATCTTTTTTGTTTTTATTTACATATCAGGAGCAAAAGTAATGAGATAATAGTTGGGTGTATTTTTGTAAAAAGTGCTAGAATGGTGATGAGTTGCAGTTCAAACCACCCTTCATTGACAAAAGCAGCATTCTAAGTCACAATGGAGGAAAGTTAAAGGAGTCTGTGCTTTTGCTGTCTGTATTCAGAGGTCAGGTGTAGGAATGTTTGATCCCTTGGATTTAGTAAAAGTCCACAATCACATAGTTTTGTTCAATGTTCTCAACAAATCCTTCCTCTATTCTGCTTGTACTGAATTATCAGGTGATTCAGAAGCTGGGTTCATATATGAGCCATATATAGGGTTTCATGTTCTTATCCAGTATGTTTTCATGTCTCATGAGTTGTGCAGTGGCATGTAAAAGTTTGGGCACTCTGCTCAAAATTTCTGTGACTGTGAGTAGCTATTTCCAAAAAGCATAAAGCTGACATATTTCTTTGATTTTTTTTAAGCAGGACTACTTGTTTATTTCCGTGTTTTGTAGCTTCAAAACAACAAAAAAGGAAAAGGGCCCAATGCAAGCTTGGGCACCCTGCATAGTCAGTATTAGTAACACCCCCTTTAGTATCACAGCTTGTAAACCTTTTAAGAAAGCAGTTCTTGTTTAGGGGATTTACCCGTAAAATGTTCCCTGTGTCGCTAGCTGCAACACAAGCCCAAAGCTTGATCGATCCACGCTTGTGCCTAAGAGATGGAAAGGTGTTTTTTGTTTTCATTCAAATCTGCACCCTTGTTTCTACAGACATACCTGTAGTCATTCTTCTGATGACTTTTCCATGAAGGTCATATTTGTGCAGATGTTGCTACACAGTAGAACAGTGCACCACCACTCCAGAGTCTGCTAAATACCTGAAGGTCTTTTGCAGTCAAACGGGGGTTTAGATTTGCCTTTCCAGCAATCCCACAAGCAGATTCTCTTGGAAAGTTTTCTTGGTCTTCCAGAACCTCAACTTGACTGTTCCTGTTAACTGACATTTCTTCATTACATATCGAACTGAGGAAACTCCTGCTTTGTGGGCATCAATTATTTTAATTTTCAGAGTGCTGGGCAGCTGCTTAGAGGAGCCCATGGCTCCTGTCTTCACTTTAAAATTGTACAAAGCAAAAATAATACACTAATCTTGCTTAAAGTTTTGAAAGAATGTTTCATCTGTATGCCTTTTGGAGATGAGTACATTTTCTATTCCACTTAACGTCTCGCATTAACTGAAATTTTGAGCAGGGGTGCCCAAACCTTTGCATGCTAATGTAGATCCCCAGATGGCCTCCCAAAATGGATTGTTCAAGTCTCAGTGTTATTATTTGTTTCCCATACATGCTTTTTTTCCTGGAGCTTTCTTGTATGTCTATCACAAAAGGGAAGATCAATATCAGGAAGAGAAGTTGATCCTTTTTAGAACCTGCTGATAGCATCATACACTTTTAAACATCCTTTGTCATTACTCCTATCCTGTAAATGCGACATTTCTGTTGTCAAGTACTATTCCCAATGAATATTGGCTCTGCTTCTGTTAATATGATAATGTGAATGTTGCAGGAGTTTCCTTCTGTATCCTTTATTTTAAAGAATGTTGTGCCATTTGTTAATAACAGAGAGAAGAAATATTGAACTTATATTGAGGGAAAAAAAAGCTAATTTAAATTATTTTGGGCTTTTTTGCTATATTTATTTTGTTGTATTACAAATCGTCTTTGTAGGAGGACAGAAGACAAATGTATTTTTCATTAGTGCAAAAACCTATTTTACTTTTTTTTGTAAATTTTCTCCATGTAAGCAGTGTTTAAAGCAATATAATGTTCCATCATATATCTGCATGTTGTTTGTGTTACCTTAATGATGGCCGCATTCACTGCGGCTTTTCCACCTGTCCCTGTCGTTGCCCAATACCCTGGTGTGGTTAACCAATGTAGTCAGTAAAGCTACACTTTCTGTGTATCCCTGCAGTCTCTGTTCTGCTCTATTCTCTTCCTCTCAGACTCAGACTTCATAACATGTTACTTCAAAGCCTCAATCATTAACTGTTAAAAACCATGACTTTCTAAGAGTTTACAGGGAGTCTGGAAAACACAGTAGTAGTAGTGTTGAAACTCATTTGTTGCCTTCCAGTGTATATATCCATATGTTATTCCACTCCACAAAGGATGCCTCAGTTCTTAATAACTATAGACCCATCTTGAAATTGTCATGTTTAGCCAAAATCTTAGAATCCTAAGTAAATTATTAACCGAAGACATTTCTTCTTTGAAATTCAGTTTTGTCAGAGTACCAATCTGATTTTAGAGAAAAGCATTTAGTGCCAGAAAAGAACACTGTGCAGTCAATTTCAAAAAGTCTACAAAATGTTGGTTTTGACCACAGAGCTACCAACTGGGTTAGAAATTCTCTCTCCGATAGACAGCAATGTGGCCCTGGGACAAAGTAAATCAGAGCTACTACAAGTAACTAATGGGGTCTTGCAGTGTTCTTTTAATGCCCTACAAATAGGCTTTCTGCAATCGTAAACTAGTTTTATGTTGAGAAAACAAAATTTTGCTGTTTTTTTATTTATGTCTCTAACATTGATTTTAACACTTAAAATTACAACCCTGAAGGGATCCAACACTGAAAGAGTTAGTAAATATTAATACCCTGGCATATGGCTAGGCAACAAATGCACATATAAATACCACATTAACAAGCTTACATGTCAACTCAGGCAAAAACATGGCTTCCTGTATCGAAACAAAATGTGTTTCCCAATGTACACAAGGAAAAAGATTGTTGAAGCAACGCTATTGTCTACTCTGGATTCTAGTGATGCAATATGCAGATATGCATCTGCAGCTACTAAATCCTAATTGTAAACAATGCATTTTATCTGACTCATTCCTGTGTCTGGATAACCTTTTAGGTGCCAAGAGCTCTTACTGAACTGGGAAAATATGCTTTTAGCTACAGTGCACCAGTAAGCTGGAATTTTTTACAGGACATTCTAAAGCTTCGCTTGCTGGTGTCACATGAACATTTTAAACTTTAAATCTAATTTTTTTAGATCTTTTAAATCTTATTTATTAAATTATTTTGATTGATTTTTTTTTTACTATTAAATTTACTATTATGACTTTTTTTAGCATTTGATAAGTTTTTACAATCTATTTTTTCAACCTCTTTTTTCTGTATTGGCTTTGTTACATTGCAAATGAGGGATTAAATAAAGGTTGATTGATTTATTTTAAGATGCACTCGATAACTACAATGCTAGAGATACTGCATTCTCACTCTTCAAGAGTCCAAAGATGAAAAAGAAGCCACCTAAATTGTTACTTGAGGTAGCTAATGAAAAATGTCTTTATGCAATAGGCCTATTTCATGTGAAAGGATTTTGATTAAATTTCAGTAGTCATGGTTAACAAATTAGAGTTAAAAAAAAAATAAAAGCACCATATAAATGCAGCAGGTTTGAAAATATAACCTTGTAAGGCTGCATGGGCTTGCTGATTTTTGCATATGTGTAGTCTGAGGCAATTATCAATTTTTTGGTACAATAAAAAAAGATGTTATTGATAAATCCCAATTTTGTGGGAAAATGTGCAAGGGTATGAGCATTTGTTAGTGAAAGAGACCCAGTGTCGCTGAATAATTTTATTTATTTATTTATTTTTTTGCCTGCCAACTCCTCTCTTTAGAGCACCAATAAAACTTTGTTAAGAGTAACATATAGCTCATAAATCAATAGTAGTCATTCCCTGGACAGAGAATACATGCTTATCAAAACACACAGATACCATCAATGATAAAGAAGGAAAGAAAAATACAAAAAAAGTTAACATTTACTAATTCCACAATGGGGAAATTCACCTCCGCAATAAACCCACCTGTGCAGTGAAACACCCACATACACACTAGTGAATGCACACACACTAGGGGGCAATGAGCACACCTGCCCAGAGCGGTGGGCAACACTATAGACAGTGCCCAGGGAGCAGTTGGGAGTTAGGTGCCTTGCTCAAGGGCATTTCAGGCATGTCCTGTCAGCTCAGGGAATCGAGCGGCGACCTTCTGGTCACAAGGATCCAGCCCACGACTGCCAAAAAAAAAATCACACTGATTAATAATAATCATAGTGATGACAATAATAATAGCAATAATCAAAGGGAAAATAAGTCAATAATTGAGTGATAATACAAAAACAAAACAGACAAATAAACAAATGAAAAAAGTAATGTTAGTGTATTGAACTGTAGCAATTTACAATTAACATCTCTGTCACATAGATTTGTGTATGTGTGTGTGTGTGTGTGTGTGTGTGTGTGTGTGTGTGTGTGTTTATGCATGTGTATGTATTAATGCAAGAAAGCATTCATGGAAAGGCCCACAGATATGTGGTACAGTTATGGGTGTATGCTGTATTTGTAATGTTGTGTCTTGTGTTAGCTTATTCCTTTGAGGTTGGTGGCTGTTAAAAGAATTACATATGTAAGAAAGTACTGAGTGCTGTCCAGGTTGTGATGAATTTGGTAGTCTTAGATAGATGCTGAAAGCTTTTCCATTGATACATGGTCTGTAAGAAGATTTTTCAAATGATTGATAGTAATATCTATCTCCAATTCATCAGAATATTTTTTAGTGTTAGTTAGCATTGCTCTACTGTTTGTCTTGATTATCCTGATTGCTGATGTGGCTGATATAAAACATAACGTAGTTGCAGAGGAAAGGCTGGAAACTTTCTACCCACTACCACAGTTAGAACTAGAGAAGATTATCTCCTCTGCAAATTGTACAACCTGCACACTTGATGCAATCCCCTCAAAATTACTCAAAGAAGTACTACCAATTATCATTAATCCTTTTTTAACTATAGTAAACTCGTCCTTTAGCCTGGGCCATGTACCCAGAGCTTTTAAACTAGCAGTTATTAAGCCTCTGATCAAGAAACCAAACCTTGACGCTAGCGTATTGTCTAATTACAGGCCTATTTCTAACCTACCATTTATGTCTAAGATCTTAGAAAAAGCTGTAGCCCAACAACTTAGTTCATATCTACGTAATAACCACATATATGAAAAATTCCAATCTGGATTCAGGCCACATCACAGCACTGAGACAGCTCTAGTTAACAAATGATCTTCTTCTTGCCTCTGATCAAGGCTACGTATCCCTGTTGGTACTACCTGACCTCAGCGCAGCTTTCGATAGGATAGACCACAATATTCTCCTAGAAAGGTTAGAAAACATGGTTGGAATCACAGGGACAGCCCTATCGTGGTTCAAATCTTACTTTATCAGTTTGTAAAGGTAAATGATTCATCTTCCAATTATTCACAAGTAAGATTTGGAATTCCGCAAGGCTCTATTTTAGGACCATTATTATTTACATTATACATGTTACCGTTAGGCACAGTTATAAGTAGCCATGGCATTAATTTTCACTGTTACGCAGACGATAGGCAATTGTACATATCAGCCAAGCCCAATACAGGTTAAAGAAAATAGAGGACTGTGTAAAAGATGTGAAAGGCTGGATGTTACGTAACTTCCTCCTTCTAAACAGTAACAAAACAGAGGTTCTCCTTCTGGGTCCAAAAGTGGCAAGAAATAAATTACCAGATTTAATTTTAAATCTTGCTGACTTTCCAGTTATACCTGGTTCAGCAGCAAAAAATCTTGGCATCATAATTGATCCAGATTTATCATTTGATCAACACATAGGCAGTATCACTAGGACAGCTTTTTTACATCTTCGCAACATCGCCAAAATAAGAAATGCCTTATCGCTGCACGATGCAGAAACATTAGTACATGCCTTTATTACTTCAAGGCTAGACTATTGTAATGCACTACTGTCAGGATGCACCAGCAAGAATTTAAGTAAACTTCAACTAGTTCAAAATGCTGCAGCCAGGGTTCTCACTAAAACTAGAAAATTTTATCATATCAGTCCAGTTCTATCATCACTCCATTGGCTGCCTGTTAAATTCCGTATCAATTACAAAATTCTTTTATTGACGTATAAAGCCCTACATGGGCTTGCTCCTGAGTACCTGCAAGACCTTATTTCCCATTATGAGCCACCACGATTACTCAGATCACAAAGTGCTGGCTTTTTAATAGTTCCCAAAATTCAGAAGGTTTCAGCTGGGGGAAGAGCCTTTTCTTATAAAGCCCCCAAACTCTGGAATGATCTTCCAGAAAATGTTCGGGACTCAGACTCAGTTTTGGTAGTTAATGTTCCCCCTTAGATAAAGGCAGCAGATCCAGGGGTCCATGGACACAGGGAATTATAGTAAACTGAGATGCTGGTGCTGTTGTCCTGCCGCTCGCACGCGATCACTCAGGTTTGTGGACGGTGGAGCGGAGGGATGCCAGATTGTTTCAGGGTGCTCCCGTGTCTGTGTGTCCTTTTGGTTCTCTCCTTTTAGTTAAGCTGTTATAGTCAGATTTACCGGAGTCATTAGCCACACTCTGGAAATGTTCACATTCTCTGTTTTACATACACTCAAACAGAACAAAACTAATTCCATCTCCCTACCTTTTTCCGAGTAAACGACCGCCCACCTGCCGGACGGACACTGATGGATGATTGTCTGCGGAGCTCTCCTGCTATCCGCTTCAGACCAGTTGCCCACGCCCCAGTCGCCCCCACTTGCCCAGCTACAGCCACTTGACTTGGACTAGCTGCCCACTCCCACTCTACATTGAAGTTTTCATGGACTCCTAACTACTACTACTATTACTACTACTACTACTACTACTATTAATATTAGTAGTAGTATAATTTTGTAGGTAGTTTGACCAGAGGAGGATGGGTCCCCCCATGTGAGCCTTGGTTCCTCCCAAGGTTTCTTCCTCAGCTCTGAGGGAGTTTTTCCTTACCACTGTCGCCCCTGGCTTGCTCACTTGGAGGATTTACATTTCATGTTAAAACTTTGTCTTTAATGGATTTCTGTGAAGCTGC